AACAAAACGGTCACTGAAGTTCAAAACTTGCAGAAACGGTCACGAAGTTTCATACACTTTCACAAACGGTCACGGAAGTTTAAGTTTCTTTCATAAACGGTCACTGGAGGACCGTTATGCCTTTAGTTCAAACATAAAGGATCAAAGTGAGCTAACCCGGATTTTGGACAGTTTTGAGGTGTCAACTTTGGACCACCATAACTCCGTCATCCGGCCACCTTTTGCCAAGAACCAATATACCAAATTGAAGTCCTCAATGCCCTCTTAACAACCCACCCAACCACTGGCCTTTATCCCATCGGAATTGGCCGAAAAATCGAGCCAAAATGAGCTACCCGGATTTTGGACAGTTTGGAGGTGCCAAATTTAGACCACCATAACTCCATCCTCCGACCACCTTTTTCCACAGACCAATATACCATATTGAAGCCTTCAATTCCCTCTTCAAAACCCATCCAATCACTGGCTGTGATCCCGTCGGAATTGTTTGGAAAATCGCCCCAAAGTGGGCTACCCACGCACAGCTTGCTGTCCAAAATCTGGCTGTGAGTGGGTAGCTCACTTTGGGTCATTTTTTCGGCCAATTCCGATGGGATCACGACCATTGGTTGGGTGGGATTTGAAGAGGGAATTTAGGGCTTCAATATGGTATATTGGTCCGTGGAAAAAGGTGGCCGGAGGATGGAGTTATGGTGGTCCAAAGTTAGCACCTCCAAGCTGTCAAAAATCCGGGTAGCTCACTTTGGCTCTATTTTCCGGCCAATTTCGACTGGATCATGGCCAGTAGTTGGGTGGGTTGTTACGAGCACGTTGAGGGCTTCAATTTGGTATGTTGGTTCATGGCAAAAGGTGACCGGAGGATAGAGTTATGGTGGTCCAAAATTGGCACCTCTAAACTGTCCAAAATCCGAGTTAGCTTACTTTGGTCCTTTACGTTTGAACTAAAGGCATAACAGTCCTCCGGTGACCGTTTGTGAAAGAAATTTGAACTTCAGTGACCGTTTGTGAAAGTGCATGAAACTTCAGTGACCGTTTCTGTAAGTTTTGAACTTCAGTGGCCGTTTTGTTATTTTTGCGTAAGTTCAGTGACCATTTGTGAAATTAATCTGTTGCAATGGAATGACATTTATAGACACGATCTATCTTAATTTATGTTGTAAGTTTTTGAATAAATCTCATTTGTGGTAACTATAATTTCATTCTAGTTTAATTATATAAATATATTTCAATTTTGTCCAATATGATAATTACATTTTAATCTGTTTTTTAATTAGAAAAATGTACATTAATTTGATTTTAATTAAATTAACTTTGTCCAATTCTATTTACAATAATTGATGATGTGACAATAAATAAATGATGGTTATCGCTTGTAACAATTAGTCGCAGACGTAAAATAAGTACAATTTCATTAAGATAAATGAGGGACATCATCAATTTTCGTCATTTCATATGAAGAATTTGATGAAATTATCTGATTAAAATTAAATTAAAGTGTAGTTACATGATTGAATAAAATTGAAGTACAGTTATATTTTTAAGGTAGAATTTTAAGTTTAATTACAGCGAGTCGAGTTCACCCTAACATTGGAGATGATATGAGCCTCTATTCTAATGTTGTCTGATTGGACCAATGTTATTGGAAAATATTAGTTCGTAATTAGTGAATCGAAATGAGCTTCAACATCAAATGTGTTTCCTAGCTGAGCATTTCTTTAAAGGAAAATCGATGTAGAACAGCAGAGGCAATGTTTATGATCGAGAAATTCGACGATTTAATAAGTTGTTGCAAATGGAGGATTACACGATTATTCGTGAACCTTAAATAAATTAGCAAGCCTCGGACCTCATTGCGAAAGACCAATTGCTACGCATATGCAAATTTAAGCGGCAAATGTACTCATAACTACAATAAATACCATAACTTCACGACTATGTTGTAAGGAACACTTTGCAACATTACTCAATTATTTCTCATTGCTCTCACTAACATAAGAATAAGCCTCAACAAGGAATAACATTTGTCTATCTAGATATTTTGATGCAATTAGTTCGTTTCATGAACCACAAAGACACCTTCGTCACCATGTTTTGATCTATTCCCATGTATGAAATACGTGATGCATCCACCTTGCAACTAAAAAATAAGAATGGTTGGCATTACTTTATAGAAAAAACAAGAAGAATATAACAACAAAATTTCTATAATCACCAAGTTTAAAAAGAATAAGCTTGAAGAAGATAAGCCTAAAGATGATGCAACCCAAACTCCTAATCACTTGGCGTCTCCACGAAGCTCAGTGAACAGAATGAAGATGACTCTTGCTGTTTGTTACACATTTGCCTAAAAAAACAAGCCACGTGACAACCAGCAAAGCAAAAAGCCACGTCAAGATCAACACTTCACTCGGAATTGCCTCTTCCACGAACCTCTTTCGAAGAGATAAGGAACTCGTCGCTCGGTACAGTTTTTATGCATATCAATGCATCAGCTCTTCGCTGTAATGCATATCCGAAGTGATTAACATCTATTGTATGCCTCGCCACCACCAAGTTGCACAAAAAGAATGATTTAACAACTCTTTAAGGGACCCTCAATCAAATCACAACTTTTCAGCCTGTGCTCAAGCTATGGAAGCCACGGGCCTATGATGGCTACGGATTGACACAATTAAGCTTAACCATCGAATCACTAAGATGAGGTTTAAAATAGCGATATTTGATAGTTCTTCTAACAAAATATATCTTAAATTGTTATATTTTATGTTATATAGGTAAAACTCAATAGCTGAACGAGGAATCGAAAGAAAGAAGTAAAAATGGTGAAAATGGCAAAATTCAAAGTTTGAGGACCAAATTGCAAATTTAATAGTTGATTCGGACCACAAGATGATATTTTGAAGATTTCTAGGAGAAAATTGGATGAAATTAGAACTCAAAAAGGAATGGAATATGATCAAAATATTATCAAAATCAATTTCTAATCGCACAAATTATATTCCAATTTTTTAGCCGAATATTGAGACTTATTTTTGGCACAGTAAACATCCGAATTGGAAATATTCTATTTCTAGCCAAGTTACTTTGAGTTATATTTTCAACACACTTTGAATCGACTCAATCGGATACTAGAAGAGAAAGTTATGACCAAAATACTTACTACTATGTAGAGACAAAAAAATCCGAGCACGAATGCAACTTTCCTTATTCGATTAGAATTCTTTTGCAGACCAATTTAGACGTGATTTTCAACCAATTTTATACTCCTACAAATACTTAACAATAGAATACATATTGGAGGACCTCTCATAAACATCTCATACTTTAATATTCATCAATTATTATCATCAAATGAGAAAAATTCATAATTTTTGTGAGAGAATTGAAAGGGATTTACAAGAATTCAATTAAGTGAATATTCCAACCTGATTTTTGGGCAAAGAAGAGAGGCGCAAGTGGAGATTTATCAAGAAACCATTGAAGATAATCAAAATTTCAAGATTCATCTTCATCTTCATAATTTATCAAAAATTTGGGTTTTATTTTTTTACTTAAATATGATTACTTGTCATNCTAAATACAATTAATTTTTTTGGTATTTTGATTATTTATTAAAAAAAATTAATTTTTTTATTTTACATGAGAAATCTGATTTATTGCTTTGCATTTTCTATTATACTAGTGGAGATAGTGCGTTGCACGATAACCGTTATAATTTTAGAAAGGATTTTGGTATAAGGACAACTTATATTACGTCGAAATATTTACCATCGATTTTACGAACTCTACAATTAAAGACCATACAGGAGTTGATATCATATCATGCAAACTTCATATTTTTTCCAAAGTCTTGGATCATTGTGTTCCAATTTTTTCTCTTCATCTAAATTCCAAGAAACATTTATAAGTAATTGAGGTTTTCTAGAAGCCAACTAATGAATACTGCATTATCCTATGGACTCTCACTTTTCCAAATTCTCAACTCACCAATACTCAGCGGCTCACTTTCAAATGTATCAGTTGATAGCCTCTAGCATTGTATGAGGACATGCCCATTACCTTCGGTTGGATTTGCCACACCAATAAGTCAGTCTTATAATCATGAGAGGATGACTGATAACACACCTTCTAAATGCTTAAAAATCAAATGCAAAGGCTATTAAATAATAAGTGCATTGCAAGCATTTCTATAAGAACATTATATTGGAAATAGAACTATTAAAGTTATTGCAAATAGAATAATCAAATGCTTCAAATTAAAGAAAAGATAAGAGCACCATCAAACACCTCTATATTGGACTGAGAGGATGAGATGGAATTTGGACAACTGATGCCTTCATGCACGTGCAATTGGATTGATGCACATAAAAAAATGATTGCCCCCAGGCTTCAAGCTATGAAGGAAAAGTTAAAAGTGTAAATTAGCAGCTACTACACGGCAGTAGCCATGTTTTGAACAAGGAGAAATGCAAACCGAACCAACATGACCAAGTAATCTGTTGGCCCATGTTGGACTTGTCAGAGTCCAATATTTTTGCGTGTTGAGCCAGGTCTGCAATGAGAGACAAATGAAGAGGAATGAAGAAGGGAAACGAAGGAGTGTGAGATATTTCTGGTAGATAAAAGGAAAAATGGAATATGTTTAGTGCAGCAATAGTTTGAGTGGATTGTCCAAATTTTGCCTTACTTTCAGCGAAGGAGATTGCCAAAAATATCAAGCACAATAGAGAAAATACCCAAGTGGCCTCTAGGCCAAGCATCTTGGCCATGTACGGCCTATGACTTTTCTTGGATTTTGCTAGCACAATAGGTGGGCGAACCTAATTTTCGCCTCCAGCATAAACACAGAGAAAATCAGGTCAGGTATCCATGGGAGTATTTATTGAAGAATTTCTCACCAAAAAATAACAAAAAATTAGCAATTTGTACACTAATTGTTTCCAAATGAAGCAAACAACTAATAAGATCATAACAAACTGCTAGTGCAATTTTTCAAATTTCTATTGAAGTTCGTGAAGCAGAGAAATATGATCCAGCACATACCATGAACCTTTCATGAGCCTCTTCCACCACCTTTCCATCTTTCTTCTTCCTCCAATTATAGCCATCTTTCCAGAAGTAGCTCTGCACCTTTCAGTCAGAAAGAAAAAAGGGAACCACCTGAAAGTACATAAGAAAATTATCATTATTTTGTCGAGCCAACATAACTTGTAGGTAAAATATAGAAATGAGCTTTTGAAGAGAACCACTGAATGGTGGAATCTACAAAATGAGCAAATGTCGAATAAAACCTTCTTGGATAGAAGTAGAGACTTGTTGATACATCCAAAATGATAAAAAATGATGAATTTTGTGAATTATAAAATGCAATGAATTGGTGATCTAATCTCAATGCAAATGAGGCCATTATACTATAAGATAGAAAGCACAAGTTACATATGTCGTTTGAAAGATGAATAAGCAGTACTTCATCAACTGATATCAAAGGAAATCAAGTTCTAACTTAAATCTTAAAAACAACAAAAAGATAATAGATCAGAAAAATAGAGTACTTGCATACAAATAACAAAGTGGGATGCTTATATGACACATAGCCCCAATACATATAATTTGTAAAAAAAATTATCACTTGTTAACTTTTTGAGGAATCCTTGGTCAATGTGTAAATGAGTGAATCTTTCGATCTTTTCGACTTTTATGATAATAGCAAATAAAATTTAGAAATGGAACCGTGTAATTATATTCAATCTTAATAGATTATTGGAGAATCCAAAAGTAGTACTTTGTTCAGGTCGAAGATGAAGTTGCCACATTTGCATTTCCAACGAATCGGTTTGTAGTGTAAAATGTTATCACCTCGAGTATTGTATGGATAAAATTTGAGCATTTGTTGTAGTTTTGACAGTGGAGAAATAGGCACCTTAATTGACACAACTTTTTTTCACATCTCGGTGGCCTTGATCTTATCCTCTCTCCATTTCTTCCCTCAACCTGCATGTATTTATAAAACAACAAAGCAAATATTATTGTCATCAATTCACTTAAGAAATTTGTTTTTAGATTGTTTCCTTGAAAATTGGTTGTGGAGAAACTTTCGAAGAAAAATGCTCTAGTTGTTAAAAATGAAATTTCATTGTAAAAAGTAAGTAAAACCTCACCTGAGCTGTTTTGTTCATCAGGACTCTTCCTGTAACATGTGAAAACATAGAAAAATTCATTTCAAAATGCTGTCTAAATGATGGATAATTAGAAATAATTCAGTAAAAATAAAGTTACCTTGAGGAATGCTGTTGTCTTGAGAGTCAGAGTGAACTTTGATGATGAATACGTTCTGCCGATATCTGTGCTCAAGCCATCCCCTGTGCATTCAAAACATTGAAAAACTTTTTCAAAGCATATACATTTATACACGTTTATTTCAACGTCATTAAAGATCAAACTGTAATGACACTTATTTAAAATATTAATACTCAATATGATCTCATATAGATGCAACAGAAAATTATAGACAACTATTAAGGGCTTTTTCAGTGATGGAGTATTCCCTATTGACAAGGCCAAGAATTTTTCAAAAACTAACTATTTCCTTCTAAAATACCACTAAAGTATAACAATAAACTAACAGAGTAGTAGCTACGTAAAAAAACCATTAATCTAAAGTAACAAAGTAGTAGTAACTGTCCAGCCCTTTCCTTTCTCTCTCCCTGTGTTTCACTCTCTGCAACAACCACATTCACTCATCCCCTTCATCCACATTCATCAACAACTATATGCACCCATTCCCTTCGTCCATCCCCAAATAATTTAATTAAATCACAATTACAGTGACTGAGTCACAGCGACGGGAAACCGCCCCCACCGTTACAAATCAACTTCATAGAATTAAAGAACTTCTTCACAAATTAAGAAACAATAAACTTAATTAGTGGATTTAAATTACAAACAGGAACAACAAATTAAAAATCTACATCCACGCAAATCAATATTCCATAATGTAGCATGAAAAAAAAATTCTAAACATAATTTCTTTTTTGTTAAAATGAGAATAAACATTCATCATCCCTAGAACCAATTCACTCATGTTCTGTTTTGAAACAAAACATAACTTCTAAAAAGGGAATCAAAAAACCCTAAAAACAAGTAAACTTAATTAATTAAACGTCTTGTTAACCTCAAGGATTTACAAAATAAAATAAAACTCAACCTAGATTTTGAAAAAGATGCAAATGCCTGCAAAAAATGGCATTTTGCATTGTGAAAAAGTATCAAACCAGTCTTCTGCAAGAATGGAGCAGCACTAAATCCATGACGACGAGAAGTTGATGAAGATCCCTTACAAGATGATTGAGCATACATGAGTTGCCACTTCTACAATAAGAATATAAGGTTATAGTGCACGTCTCTCTTTTAATAGAACACAATAAAGATGCCTTCAATTGTTGCTATGAAGTAGAAGAAGGCGGTCGAGTTGCACAAACTACAAATGTATTTGAATTTTGAACATTAGAAAAGGATAATTTACAGCAGAGTCCTTGTTAGTATAAAGAATGTAAAAAGTAAACATTAGGAGTAAAAGTATAATAGAACCCACCTTTGTTGATAGAATGGCTAGGTTGATTTGTTGTGTCATCCCCCTTTCCCGGTTACATGTAGTAGTAAATGCCAACCCTCAATAATTAATGCCTCTTTTCTATTGGGTTATTAAGCAGTATTTAGCTTCAAAAATGAAAAGCAGAACTCGTCGTATTTGAGCTCACTCATTCTAAAAAGTCAAACATATGACAAGATTACTATATATCATCCACTTGAACAGGTTCAACAAATAGAAACAATCAACATTGTTCAACTTACGTGCGTGAAAAAAAATAACTGATGTTCAGTAGGTAAGTTTGTTATGCAACAGAAATGCTAAAACATTTAATTTTAATCTTCAAATTTGAAAATTGTACACTTCTAGCAATGTAAGAAAATCTTCAGGAAGAAGTATATTTGTTGGTACTAAATTTTCCGTTCACAGAACAATTTATAAACTGATGCAAGTTTCTTCATACATAGATAACTACAGTTATTTCTCATGCTAACCTTATCTATTTCAATGTCAGACAGCTGATTCAAACCCAATATGTATATGTTCATCAACATGTCCGTAGAAATGGCCTGCAATAAAAATATTCTTTTCATAAAGATAGCATCAACCAACTTCATTTCCAATTCTAACTGACCCAAACTTTTCCATACCTCTAGCACCCCAGTGATAAATAATGGAGAAAAATATGAGAGGTTTTTTACTGCAAGGAGAGAAATTGAAATGATACTCAATGCCTGCACAGAAATGAATTGCAGTAAATTACCATTTTCTTCAGAAAAAACAAGTGTAATATGGAGAAAAATATGAGAGGTTTTTTACTGCAAGGAGAGAAACTGAAATGATACTCAATGCCTGCACAGAAATGATTTGCAGTAAATGACGCTTTTCTTCAGAAAAAACAAGTGTAATCTATAACTTTGGAAAAGAAATGTCCGTTTTGTTATAATCAAGTATTGTATTACTTGCAAGATGTACTTAAATTTACTTTTTGAAACTTGCTAGACGTATCACAGTATCAACATGGAAAGTTAAAAGTGATTTGAGCCTAACACCTTGATTGTCCGACCAGCAATTTCTAGTTTCCCATTCAAGCCTTGTGCATCCTTTACATGTTCAAGTTCTGCAAACTGCAATTATGTATCAATAAAATTTACATTAAAACACAAAGTAGAAAATTAGAATATATAAATGTTTTAGGAAAACCATATCACAGTTAAAGAAGGTTATTAAAAACATATATTACGTGCTTGTGGACTCTACTTCCCCTTCAATTTCACCATTAATTTTGCTAAACTTTTCTTTAAAACTCCAAGTTATAATAGCCTGTGAATAACATGAACCAAACATAGTTCAAACATTTTTTGTTCGATCACATAAGAAAATGAAAAAAAATTGTTTCCGTTTCACTGTAAGAATTCCACAAAACTCGAATCAAAGATAAAAATAATAAATTCTAACAGAAATATTAAAAGAATTTAGGTATTTTTTTTAACAGAAATATAATTTAGGTATTTTTTTTGTTCAATCTCATGAAATTTTAATTTCTGTTTTGTAGAAGAAGCAAAAATAATAAATCACGAAAATCACAAAATGAAGAAAAAAATCTCATATTAGAAACCACAGTTGAAAGAATCAAAAAAATATACACAACACCTTAAATCCTAAAGACCCCTTAAATATAACTATATAAAGTTTGGGTTCGGCTTCTCCGAAGATCCAGCACAAACAAGAGTGAAAAATAAAAACCGACGATTATACTTACGGATACTGATCTACAGCAACAAGCAGTAGCAAAAAGGGAAGCAGCTTGAGTTTGGAGATCCAAATGAAGATTCCAGCCTCGATCTGTAAATAAAATCCCAAAAATTAATCAAACTTCCGACCGCCTGAATCTGAACAAAACCTAAATCGACGCTTAGAAGTTACCTTAGATCGAGATTTATGGAGACTTCCTTGCATCTGCTGAAATTCCGACATCTTTAAATTTTTTTGACATTTTCCAAGAACTGTAGAGAGGTGGAATGCGAGAGAGAGAGAGAGCAAGAGAGTGAACACAGAGGGATAGGGACGAAAGAGTGCAGGGGATTAGGGTGGGTGCCAAGAGAAAATGAGTATGGATTGTTGAGTGGGGAAAGACGAAAGAGTGCAGAAATGGGGGAAAGGGTATGGGTTGTTGAGTGTGGAATGGGGAAAAAGTCAGAAAAGTACACTTTTTAAACCATAAAATCAAATAAAATATAATAACGGCTCGGCTATGAAACGGCTCACCCAACTGGACTCGGCCAAACGGCTCAAACGGCTTAGGAACAGTAGAACTCATCCTCCTCTTTTATATATTGTAAGGATGAGTTATGAATGATTTAGACATATAAGAAATTGTTTAAAATATTACATTATATAATATATATGCATAATATTTTATTTTAAAATATAAAAGTCTTTAAAAGTCGCTAAAAGTCTTTAATAAAAGTCTACAGAAGTTCATGGAAGACTTTTATTAATTCTTATCAAATCCATAGAAATCACTTGAAAGTCCACAAATTCCACAAAAGTCATTCACTTAAAAAAGTCTCCAAAACTCTTTAAAAGTCTCAATTGAATACACTCCATTAATGAATTCTGTAGACATTGTATGTCATTGACGGCCTTTCACATTTATTGGCGCTCATTGATCGAGGATTGTGGAGTTCATTTGCGCTCAAATTCTACAAATTGAGTGATATTTGGATATTATTTTGGCGTGATATTTAGGGCTTGTTAGAAAACTGTAGGATTATTGGCCTCCAATGTCACCCAAATACCGAGCTCAGAAAAACTAATCGACACCACAATAACAACCAAACTCCAAACTAAGACTACCACTACTTGGTTGCTTCCAAGGTGCCACAAAGGCTGAGCGTGAGTGATCTTTGGCAGCCCAAACTAGCCACTAAGGCTAAGGGAAGAAAATGAGAAGGTAGCACAAAACAAGAGGAAGCACAAAGCAAGAACTCTCTTTTCTCTCCTTAAAACTCACGGCTCCAACATTCACACTAGGTCTAAACACAAGAAAACCGTTCCACTTATAAGCATAAGGTAAGTGGACTTTAAGGTCAAACACAAGAGGCCCAATAGACAACAACAAGTGGGCTTTCAACCCTAAAGTCGTCCAAAGTAATGGGCCGGACCATAAGCAATACTAATGATATTAGGCTACTTCAAATGACCTACTTAAGTTGTCAAAGTGGTTGGTGTCGACATTTCACTTCAATCATCGGCCGAGGCCTATGAAGTTTAATCCAAACAGTAAAATCGGTTTTACATCATCGCCCGAATTTATTGGATATCAAAACCCGACAAATCTCCACTTTGATTCCCAATAAATCTGCAAGCAACCAAAACACACAGTTTATAATTGCACAATCGAGGTAACCAATAAAATTGGTATCATAGACCTTACCTCGTGTTTCGAACCTGAAACACATGTTATACCTGCTCCATATACTCACAATGCATGTAAACACATTAAACATATTAAACTGTAACATATAATCATGCAGCGGAAACGAACAATCACACACATGAAGAAAGGATTACACACGGATGCACATGCAGTAACTAAGGTAACACTCAATAGGGTTCACTAGGGTCATCACTCGGTCCTAAAACCAGATTCATCTCGCCTCTCATCTTACCCTTCTTTTTGGGACAATCCCTAATGAAGTGTCCAGACTTACCACAACTGTAACACCGTCTACCTCCTCGTGTTTCGAACCTGAAACACATGTTATACCTGCTCCATATACTCACCAGGGCTAAGATCAAGAACACCCAAGTAGAAGCAGATAATCACAGCAATCAATCAAGAGCAAATAAACATGCGACAGAGATATCATATAGGATAACACAAATCTTATCGAACATGTTCACACAGAACAACAGATTAACACCAAGTCAATCAACAAGCCAACACATATGCAACAAAACGCATAAATGACCTTATGAAGATCTCACCACACTTATCCTATCCCATTCCGTGTTGCTCGCTCCTCGAGAACACATATCTCACCTCATCGTCCACAATGCTCACTAGACTAATCACTCAAAAACACATGTCTAACTGGTAAGTCTCTATAGATCCTAAGTTCTCGGGATAATCCTCTATCACTACATTACTTCTCCAACCTAAATGGATAATGGGTCTCCACCTAACAGAAGTGATAGAAGTGCCTCAATCGCACTTCACCTGATCAGGGTCTCTTACAGATTTTAATTACATCAATCAATCAATAGCAAATAAACATGCGACGGAGATATCATATAGGATAACACAGATCTTATAGAACACTTTCACACAGAAAAACTGATTAACACCACCAACACATATGCAACAAAATGCATAAATGAACTCACAAAGATCTCACCACACTTATCATATCCCATTCCGTATTGCTCGCTCCTCAATAACACATATCTCACCTCATCGCCCATAATGCTCACTAGACTAATCACTCAAAAAACACATGTCTAATTGGTAAGTCTCTATAGATTTTAAGTTATCGGGATAATCCTCTATCACCACATCACTCCTCCAACCTAAATGGATAATGGGTCTTCACCTAACAGAAGTGATAGACGTGCCTCACTCGTACTCCACCTGATCAGGGTCTCTTACAGATAAAGGATTCTAAACATTTGATCACATTTCCACCGTGATCCAAATGTCACACTCTACATCTCATGGTACAAACCACAATGTACCCCTAAACATCTATACTCCACCTTACCAAAAGACATACACACACACACACACTGCTAATGCATCTCAAAATCACTATGACAAATTAATACCTTTCGACGACCACAAAGGTTAAGGCCAAAAATTAAATTGACCCATGCACCACAAGGTTACTCTTAACAACAATGCTCTTACAAATCCACAAATAGTTTATCCTACAAAAGGAAAGGTGAAGCTGTCACTCACAAAGAGAATAGAAGAAAGAGTTGGTTACTTCACTGCACTCACAAAAGAGGCTCACACAGAGAACGAAGATAACCTTTACAGGCTGCCTTACATAATCTCACAAACCACACAGGCTCACAAAGATAAAGGAAAAAATGGTTGCCCCTCTTACTTCACACTACCACACTCTTACACCACTCATAGAGCAAAATGGAGTATGCCATAGATCTCAACCCACAATGCATGTAAACACATTAAGCTGTAACATATAATCATGCAGCGGAAACGAACAATCACACACCTGAAGAAAGGATTACACACGGATGCACATGCAGTAACTAAGGTAACACTCAATAGGGTTCACTAGGGTCATCACTCGGTCCTAAAACCAGATTCATCTCGCCTCTCATCTTACCCTTCTTTTTGGGACAATCCCTAATGAAGTGTCCAGACTTACCACAACTGTAACACCGTCTACCTTTCTTCTTGGGACAATCCCTAATGAAGTGTCCAAACTTACCACAGCTGTAACACCGTCTACCACATGACTTGTCCCAACTCTTGCCCTTCTTCTTATCACCCTCATCACTCGAGTCACTACTCGAATCACTACTGTCTTAAGCTCTACCCAAACTCATCTGCTCAAACTTCATTCTATTCCTCATTATATGCAACTCACCCGTTTGCTTATCTTCTTTTTCAGCTTTAATCTCCATTTCCTTATTCCTAAGGGAATCGATGACAATTTCGGGGGTTAAAGTGTCCCAACCATACTTAATCGCATTCTTAACCTCTCTATATAACTCTGGCATAGAATTAAACAAAATAATGGCCTTATAGGTTTCAGACACCTTCTCATAACAGTTAACGATATCTTGAACCAACTTATTAAAAACATCCAAATGGTCATCAAGATATTTTGAAGGATCCATTTTAAAGCTAAAAAATCTTTCAAACAAGTATAACTTATTTGGAGTAGATTTTAGCAAATATAAATTCTCCAACTTTTTCCAAAGTTCTTTGATAGAATTGAGTTTTCCAACTTTTCTCAAAACAATCTTAGACAGGTGTAAAATGATAGAAGTGTATGCAAGTTCATCATATTCTACTTTTTGTACTTCTGTAAAATTTTCCGAAAATTTGCAATCAATGACTTTTGAAACTTTTTGTTGGACCAAAATACCCTTCATTTTTTGTTGCTAAATTGAAAAATTTCATTTCCCGTTGAAAATCCAAATTTCGAAATGTGAAGACATTTTGAAAAACAGAACAACAAAAAATGCACAAATAGGTCACACAGAGTAATCCTAAGGCAACAATATACACCGTTCTAGATTCTCAGGTTTCGTAAGATTCACGATCTTAGATTAAGGGAATGTTCGAACGGGTCAAGTCAAGGTGTTCTAACGGAATAATCAATGCAACACGAAGGTATGTCAACGCAATTCAAATTTTCAAGCAAAACAATCTCACACAGAGACAAAACAACAGTTATAGCGCAAAAACAATTACCACTTGCAGTCAAAATTCAACACTTCAAATAAAGCAATTAATTCCTAAATATTTGTACAAGCAATGGTTACCCATTCACGGTAACCCCAATCCTAATGTCACCCCACACGATGACGCGCTAATACTAAAATTTAAACGGGATAAGCCAATTTACCAGAGTGGACTTATCTGAGTCCGTAAATTTCGAGGAATATAATTTTAACACTTTAGGGCCACCACTATTCGCCCTAAAGTATTCAGCAACTATAGCAACCAACGGAATGCAAAACTGAATCCCGAATGCACAGGGACAAAATGGTCCAACTTTTCCTGCGTAACCTGAAACACTAAATCAAGAATATCAGTACGTTCAGGAAATCAAAATAAACAAACTGCCTGAAGAAACCGTCGTTAGAAGACTGCCCACGCACCCTCATGCACGGCCCAAGTGTTCTGCGCTTGGGCTTCACGCGCCGCCATCCTCCCTGCGTGTGGGCTTCACGCTCCGTTGACTTAGCAGCTCCTCGGTTTGCTCGTCACGTCG